ACTGGTAGCACTGTTTCTCTTCTTGGTTCTTGGTTTTTTTTTTTTTTTTTTTTTTTTTTTGGTAGCATTGTTTTTCTAACTAAGAAAGTGAAATTTATCTATGATTTCTACTTCTATTCCATGAACTAAACTCCCATGTAAAAATGTAACTTTTAGTTTATGGTTTGTATTTGTCTCTACACCAATGACCACGCTGATGTAGACCACTAAATCCAAAGCTATTATAGAAGCACTGACCTAAGTAAGCTGGATCAGACACCACAGTGATAATAATCTTGAGTCAATCAGTCTAATTATATTCCCATACCTTGTCATCTTGTCAATGTATCACATTAATTGTTGCAGAAATGAGTCTGAATAGTCTGAAACCTCAATAGGGAACAGAGTTACTCTATGGTTGCATTGAGTTGACTGTGCTCTTTCTTCATTCTTTTTTGCTAACCCAAATACATATTTGTTATATATGTACATATATACAGTATATTATATGTGTGTATACACGTTTCTTTTGAAACATTCAAAAGTGGTTGCTATTGTAGTTTTAATTATAAATTAAAAACCAAATTTCTGAAAAATACAGGCAATGTAGTGAAGGAATTCCTATCACTTAATAATCAAGAGATTTGGGAAATTTAGTAGAAAAAATCTGGTGGGCTCCAGTTGTTTTCTGTTAAAATTAAGCATATGTCTTTGACAACTCTTCCTAAAAATTATGCTGAAAATACATGTGTATGGGTCATAAACGACTTTATTCTGAAAAAAATGACTCATTATAGCTGAATCAGACATTCTCCAACATTGCTATGATAATTCTATTATTATGGAAATTATAAATTTCTGTTGACTCAGCTGCTGGGTGCATGAGAATCCGTACTTGTGCTATGTACGTGTTTCCTATTGCTGCTATAAAAAATTGCCATAAACTTTATCGATTAAAACAATAATAATGCATTGTCTAGCTGGGTGTGGTGGCAGACACCTATAATCCCAGCTACTTGGGAGGCTGAGGCAGGAGAATTGATTGAATCTGGGAGGCAGAGGTTGCAGTGAGCCAAGATCACTTCGTTGCACTCCAGCCTGGGTGACAGAGTGAGACTCCATCTCAAAAAAAAAAAAAAAAAAAAAAAAAAGAATTAATTAAAAATAAACACACGTACAGAAATAGGTAAGAATGGAAATATACATTCAGCATAGGAATCCGTAACAACTTGCAAATTTTAAAACAAGCTAACAAAGACTATAAGCACCACAAAATCCAGAAAAAGAATATGTTTTGTACATCAACTGCCTGATACAGTTGTCACATACTTGTTTTCCACATTCGTTGATCACATATTATCTGATTGCCTCTTTTATAAATGATTTTATAAATTTTTTTATAGAGAAAAGAGAAAGATAAGTCAGTCTTTCTTCTAGTATGGTTGATCGAAATGTTTTTTTGACAGCTGAGATGAATAAAACATGATTTCACATACAGACATCATTACTGTTTTTGCGGTATTGCCACAGGTTTTTGGCAATACAGAATACAGAAAGTCTAATAAATTCCATTTTGTGTAATTCTCATGAAAAAAGGAAAAAAACTGAAAACAAAAACAAAAAAATGCATTGTCTTGCAATTCTGTAGATCAGAAGTCCAATACGGGTTTTATTAAGCTAAAATCAAGGTATCAGCTGGGTTGCATTCCATTTGTGGCTCTAGAAAAGAATGCATTTCTTTGTCTTCTCTCTTGTAGACACTGCCCACCTTACTGGGTTCATGGTCCCTTTTGTCCATCATCAAAGCCAGCAACATTGCATCTTTTCTGACCCTTCTTTAATAGTCATAGCTCTTTCTGACCACAGACAGCAAGTGTTCTGTCCCATTCAGATAATACAGGAGAATCTCCTCTTTGAAAAGTTATTTATTCTTCTTGTTTTAGAGATGGGACATCACTCTGTCACCCACACTGGAGTGCTGTGGTTCAATCAAAGCTCACTGCAGCCTCAACATGTTAATCACATCTGCAAAGTATCTTTTGCCATTTAAGGTAATCTATTTGCAGATTTAATTTAGAGAATTAGGGGATAGACATCTTTGGTTGTCCATTATTCTGTCTACCACACGTTGGCTGCTTGGAAGAAAATTATGGTCTAGCAGCAATACCTGTGGCGAAAGGCACAGAAAGCTCTTTATACCAGCAGTTTGGGCCTCGTCGATTAGATGATTTTACCAAAGGCAAGGAAATTAACAAACTTCTAGAAGTTATTAACAAAAAACACTAAATTGAGAAAGATATCCTGAATCTTCACTGCAATTTAAACTATGAAAACAGAAAACCCAAGCAAAGGAATCCACATATAATAAGAGTCTTTATCTAGAATATATAAAGAACTCTTATAATTACATTATAAAAAGATAAATAACCCAATTAAAATAGGCAAAAATCTAAGGTGAGATTTCTTCAAGGTAGATATGCAAGTGGCCAATAGACACATGAAAAGATACTCAACGTCGTTAGTCATATGGGAAATACAAATCAAAATTACAAGACACCACTCACACCCACTAGAATGGTTATAATTAAAAAGTTAGATAACAAGTATTGGGAGAACACAGAAAAATAGGAATCCTAACACACCGTGGGTGGGAATATAAGGTGGTGTAGCCACTTTGTAAAAAAGTCTTTGTAGTTCCTCAAATAAGCACAGGAATATCACATGATCCAGAAATTCCATTCTTAAGAAATGAAAACACCAGGTCTGGTGGCTCACTCTTGTAATCCCAGCACTTTGGGAGGCTGAGGCTGGTGGATCACCTGAGGTCAGGAGTTCCAGAACAGCCTGACAAACATGGAGAAACCCCATCGCTACTAAAAACACATTAGCCAAGCATTGTGGTGCATGCCTGTAATCCCAGCTACTCGGGAGGCTGCGGCAGGAGAATTGCTTGAACCTGGGAGGCGGAGGTTGTGGTGAGCCGAGATTGCGCCTTTGCACTCCAGCCTGGGCAAAAAGAGCAAGATTAGTCTCAAAAAAAAAAAAGAGAGAGAGAGAAAGGAAAGAAAGGAAGAAAGAAAAAGAAGGAAAGAAGGAAAGGAAGAAAGAGAGAAAGAAAGAAAGAGAAAGAGAAAAGCGATGAAAACAATGCTGGGGTGGTGGTAATCCCAGCACTTTGGGAGGTCGAGGTGAGCAGATCACCTGAGGTCAGGTGTTTGAGACCAGCGTGGCCAACATGGCAAAACCCCGTCTCTACTAAAAGTACAAAACTACTAGGTGAGCGTGGTGACAGCACCTGTAATCCCAGCTATTTGGGAGGCTGAGGTACAAGAATCGCTTGAACCCCAGAGGTGGAGGTTGCAGTGAACTGAGATCATGCCACTACACTGCAGCCTCGGCGACAGAGTGAGAGACCCCGTCTAAAGAAAAATGGAAAAAAAGAAAGAAATGAAAATACCCGCATACACATTTGTACATGAATGTGAATGTCCATAGCAACGTTATTCATAATAGCCAAAAGGTGAAAACAACCCAAATGTCTATAAGCAGATGCATTGATAATCAAAATGTGATATTCTATACAATGGAATATTATTTGGCCAAAAATAGAAATTAAATATTCATACATGCTGCAACTTAGATGAACCTCAAAAGTATTATGCTAAGAGAAAGAAGCCAGCCACAAAACTCAACAGGTTATATTATTCCATAATGTGGAAGTCCAGAATAGGAAACTCCATGGAGACAAGGAGTAGACTAATGGTGGCTTAGGCTCAGCACAGGAGGGATGAGGGAATTGTTGGGGGATAAGAAGTAATAGCTAAGGGATGCAGAGTTATTTCGAGGTGATTAAAATGTTCTAAATTGGGATGATGAATGCACAACTCTGAATATATCACGTCATTAAATCATATATTTTATTTATTTATTTATGCATTTATTTATTTTTGAGATGGAGTCTCATTTTGTCACCCAGGCTGGAGTACATTGGTGAGATCTCCGCTCACTACAACCTCCACCTCCCTGGTTCAAGCGATTCTCCTGCCTCAGCCTCCCGAGATATTTTTTGTATTTTTAGTACAGATGGGGCAACATTATGTTGGCCAGGCTGGCCTCAAACTCCTGACTTGGTCATCCACCCATCTCGGCTCCCCAAAGTGATAGGATTACAGGCCTGAGTCACCACGCCTGCCTGAATCATATATTTCAAATGGGTAGATTGAACTTTTTAAATTTTTCATGGGTATATAGAAGGTTCATATTTTTAAGGGTGGGTTGTATTGCATGTTTTTAATTATATTTCAGTATATCTTCTTTTTAAGTAGAATAAAACAGAAATTATTCTTGTCATGATAAAAATCAATTCAAAAACGGTGGCAGGCCCGATATTGAGATCTACCTATCTGGGAAATGATTTTCCAATAATTTGAAGGTTGTGAAAACTCAGTTCTCAGACCTAGGTGATAATGAGGAACTAAATTGCTCTCTAATAAAGCATTAGTTAACTATCTTCTTTAGAAGTACTACTGATTGCAGTGATGCAGTTTCTACCCAGAGTCTATAACATGTAGAATGACAAATATGTGTTTGTGAAATTCTTACCATGTCACTTCAAAAACAGTTTTCTCATGATATATTCGGTTAGATGATTCAAATAGGAAAGAAACATTTTGCTCCTAAGTGTATATTTCTCCTCAAATTAAATGTTAATTTCAATTAAAATCTTTTGTTTAATCACTAACAACGCAACAGCATTAAACAGTCATTAACATGTGACTGCTTCTTATACTCTTCCCTTGCAATATCACAGAGGTACATCTGTTCACACAAAATCCACATGAAAATAGGACTCACTGTTTCATATTGCATAGCTTATTCAGTACATTTAGAAGAATTTCGCCTCCAAAATTAAACCAGAAAATATGACTCAGTGAGAACGCATGGTGGCGCTGCAGGCTAAGATGATGGAAAATGCAATTGCCCACCCAGCTCCACGATCCAGTAAACCGTTTCCCAAAGCCTGGAAGCAAAAGAATAGCTGAGCCAGAGCAAATGCCAGTGTGAAACCTCTTTAAGACACCAGTGAGCTGCTTGGTTCTGACATTCTGGACTGCAAAACCGTGCTGCTAGGATCCTGGGGGTACATGAAGCTTCTGTGAACCAAGTTTTCCAAGAAAGAGCAATGGAGATTGGATGGATGCACAATCGGAGACAAAGGCAAGTCCTTGTTTTCTTTGTTTTGCTGAGCTTGTCTGGGGCGGGCGCCGAGTTGGGGCCCTATTCCATAGCGGAAGAAACCGAGAGAGGCTCTTTTGTGGCAAATCTAGGAAAAGACCTGGGGTTGAGGTTGACAGAGATGTCCAGCCGCGGGGCCAGGATCATTTCCCAGGAAAACAAACAGCATTTGCAGCTCAAGGTTCAAACTGGGGATTTGCTCATAAATGAGAAGCTAGATCGAGAGGAGCTATGCGGTCCCACTGAGCCTTGCTTACTACATTTCCAAGTGTTAATGGAAAACCCCTTAGAAATATTTCAGGCTGAACTGAGGGTGATAGATATAAATGACCATTCTCCCGTGTTCACTGAAAAGGAAATGATTCTAAAAATACCGGAAAATACTCCTCTACGAACTGAGTTCCCTCTGTATCATGCTGTAGACATGGACGTAGGAAGCAATAATGTCCAAAACTATAAAATCAGCCCAAATTCCCATTTCGGGGTTCTAACCAGAGAACGCAATGATGGCAGAAAATATCCTGAGCTAGTGTTGGATAAAGAGCTGGATCGGGAGGAGGAGCCTCAATTAAGGTTAACCCTGACAGCGCTGGATGGAGGTTCTCCACCGCGATCTGGAACCGCCCTGGTCCTCATTGAAGTGGTGGACAGCAACGATAACGCTCCTGAGTTTGAGCAGCCCATTTACAAAGTGCAGATTCCAGAGAACAGCCCCCTTGACTCCCTGGTTGCCACCGTCTCCGCCAGGGATTTAGACAGCGGAGCCAATGGGAAAATATCATACACATTCTTTCAGCCTTCAGAGGATACTAGTAAGACTTTGGAGGTAAATCCTATGACGGGAGAAATTCGACTGAGAAAACAATTAGATTTTGAAACAACTATGTCTTATGAAGTGGACATCAAGGCCGCAGATGGGGGAGGTCTTTCAGGAAAGTGCACTCTTCTCCTGCAGGTGGTGGACGTGAATGACAATCCTCCACAGGTGACCATGTCTGCACTCACCAGCCCCATCCCAGAGAACTCGCCTGAGATTGTAGTTGCTGTTTTCAGCGTTTCAGATCCTGACTCCGGGAACAATGGGAAGACGATTTCCTCCATCCAGGAAGACCTTCCCTTTCTTCTAAAACCCTCAGTCAAGAACTTTTACACCTTGGTGACAGAGAGAGCACTCGACAGAGAAGCAAAAGCTGAATATAATATCACCCTGACCGTCACAGATATGGGGACTCCGAGGCTGCAAACGGAGTACAACTTAACAGTGCAGATATCGGATGTCAACGACAACGCCCCCGCCTTCACACAAACCTCCTACACCCTGTTCGTCCGCGAGAACAACAGCCCCGCCCTGCACATCGGCAGCGTCAGCGCCACAGACAGAGACTCCGGCAGCAACGCCCAGGTCACCTACTCGCTGCTGCCGCCCCAGGACCCGCACCTGCCCCTCGCCTCCCTGGTCTCCATCAACGCGGACAACGGACACCTGTTCGCCCTCCGGGCGCTGGACTACGAGGCCCTGCAGGCGTTCGAGTTCCGCGTGGGCGCCACAGACCGCGGCTCCCGGGCGCTGAGCAGTGAGGCGCTGGTGCGCGTGCTGGTGCTGGACGCCAACGACAACTCGCCCTTCGTGCTGTACCCGCTGCAGAACGGCTCCGCGCCCTGCACCGAGCTGGTGCCCCGGGCGGCCGAGCCAGGCTACCTGGTGAGCAAGGTGGTGGCGGTGGACGGCGACTCGGGCCAGAACGCCTGGCTGTCGTTCCAGCTGCTCAAGGCCACGGAGCCCGGGCTGTTCGGCGTGTGGGCGCACAATGGCGAGGTGCGCACCGCCAGGCTGCTGAGCGAGCGCGACGCGGCCAAGCACAGGCTGGTGGTGCTGGTCAAGGACAATGGCGAGCCCCCGCGCTCGGCCACCGCCACGCTGCACGTGCTCCTGGTGGACGGCTTCTCCCAGCCCTACCTGCCGCTCCCGGAGGCGGCCCCGGCCCAGGCCCAGGCCGACTCGCTCACCGTCTACCTGGTGGTGGCGTTGGCCTCGGTGTCGTCGCTCTTCCTGTTCTCGGTGCTCCTGTTCGTGGCGGTGCGGCTGTGCAGGAGGAGCCGGGCGGCGTCGGTGGGTCGCTGCTCGATGCCCGAGGGCCCCTTTCCAGGGCATCTGGTGGACGTGAGCGGCACCGGGACCCTGTCCCAGAGCTACCAGTACGAGGTGTGTCTGGCGGGGGCTTCTGGGACCAATGAGTTCAAGTTTCTGAAGCCAATATTACCCAATATTCGAGGCCCTTCCCCTGTGCCAGAAATGGAAGAAAACTCCAACTTTAGGAATGACTTTGGTTTCAGCATTCAACTAAAATAATCATTTTCATGGTGTATATTTTAATGTTTATGATAAATCTAGAGTATGATGTTTCTGTCAACCTTGTGTAAATTATAATTTATACTAAACTTTCCTGTGGGACTTCTCATGGTGTCCCTGTTTTAAATATGGTATCTCATCTTTTCTTCATAGTTTACCAATTTGAATAGTTCTAAAGCTTGCCAATCAAAACACTGATGAGGTCAATGGTTGTACAGATACTAGTTCTGGAATAGCCTGGGAGTATAGAAGCAGGGAAAACATAAGAAATTGGCTCTACATAATCGGTTGTCGTTCCTTGTTAATTTGCTTATTAGTTTTTAATCCACTAAGTGTATACAGAGCAGTAATGCACTAAGGTTGCAGTGAAGTCTAATCAGGAAGGGAAGAAAGCTAGTTCAGTGAGAATGTCTGGCTCCTGCTTTATTATGCCCTCATACTTCTTATCTTCTTTGATGCTGTTTTCTCTTAAAGTGTTACATAATTTTGCTTCCTTTCATTAATATGTTAGCTTTTGTTTTAATATAATTATTTTCATTCACTTTATATATTTGTGTTGTTGAATAAGAGGAAACCTTCACCATATTTATTTAGTGAGATAAAGTAACATGGTAATGAAGTTAGCTTTTCTCCTTGGAGAAATATTGACCATCCTTGATGGAATTCGCAGTGGCCACTCCTAACCATTTATCTTTTCTTTGTTAATGACATCTCAAATTCCATTTAGGGCAATAGGTTGCTTAGTGAAAACAGTACATTTTCCCAGCCTTCTTGGCTGGGAAACTGAACATATGACTGGGTTGTAGCCGTGAGCTGTATGTACAAGTGCTATACTGACATCCAAGAACACTGTTTAAAAGGCGATAATTCATCTAGGAACGGGGCCCCCATTTTCCTTCTCTAAGTGCTCCTTGTTGCCTGGAATCTGTATTTCATGACTAGTACCACAGCCTTGTTGGACCCTAATGATTGAAACATTAAAGATTAAGACGGTAAAAAATAAACTTAAAAGATACAAGAGTCTCTGGTGACCATGGAGTCATAATGTCATCTCTATATTGCCTATGTCTATTTTTTTTTTACTTAGGAACTATAATTTTTAATTAAAATATTATATATACAGTAAAAAGCACAGATCTTAAACATTCAGTTTAATCTGGTTTTTAAGCTTTTATTTATTGATTTCTAATTTAGTCAAAATGTAGTTTACAGTGGTATACAGGGTGCTTTACATTTATTATCTTTTGAAGTTTTTCCCAAACCCTAAAAGTGTTGGTATATTATCTCCTGTTTTACATATGAAAACACGGTGGCTTAGAAAGGTTAAGTAACTTGCTTATAATTATCAAGCAATTAAAGGAAAAATCTGAAATACAATCTAAGTCTACCTAAATGTAATGCCTCAGTTTTTAGCCAATATAGTGTATTGGCATTAACTTGTAGCACTGTTTTTCTAAGAAAGTGAAATTTGTCTATGATTTCTACTTCTATTCCATGAACTAAATACCCATGTAAAAATGTAACTTCTGGTTTATAGTTTATATTTGTCTTTACACCAATGACCACACTAATGCAAACCACAAAACCCAAAGCTCTTATAGAAGCACTGACCTAAGTAAGCTGGATCAGACATCATAAGTGATTTTCATTTTGAGCAAATCAGTCTGAGTATATTCCCATACCTTATCATCTTGTCAATATGTCACATTCATTGTTGCAGAAATGAGTCTGAAGTAGTCTGAAAGACTGAATAGGGAATAGATTTACTCTACAGCTGCATTGAACTGAGCTCTTTCTTCATACTTTTTCTCCTAACTCAAATACATATTTGTGATATATATGTAATGTGTATTAAATATATACCTATATGCACATTTCTTTTGAAACATTTTAAAGTAGTTGTTATTCTAGTTTTAATTATAAATGAAATAACTAATTTCTGAAAAATATAGGCAATGTTGTGAAGGAATTCCTATCACTTAATAACTGAAAGATCTGGGGAATTTAGTAGAAAAAATTCTGATAGGCTCCAGTTGTTTTCTGTTAAAAATTAAGCATATGTCTTTGACAACTCTTCCGAAAAATTATGCTGAAAATACATGTGTGTGGGTCATAAATGACCTTATTATAAGAAAAATTACTTGCCGGGCACGGTGGCTAAAGCCTGTAATCCCAGCACTTCGGGAGGCCGAGGTGGGTGGATCACGAGGTTGAGAGATTGAGACCATCCTGGTCAACATGGTGAAACCCTGTCTCTACTAAAAATACAAAAAATTAGCTGGGCATGGTGGCATGTGCCTGTAATCCCAGCTACTCAGGAGGCTGAGGCAGGAGAATTGCTTGAACCCAGGAGGCGGAGGTTGCGGTTAGCCGAGATCGTGCCATTGCACTCCAGCCTGGGTAACAAGAGCAAAACTCCATCTCAAAAAAAATAAAATAAAAAATAAAATAAAAAAAAGAAAAATTACTCATTATAGCTGAATAAGGCACTCTCCAGCATTGCTGTGATAATACTATTCTTATGGAATTATGATTATAAATTTCTGTTGACTCAGCTGCTGTGTGCAAGAGAATCCATACTTGTAATATGTATTCATTTTCTACTGATGCTATAAAAAATTTCCAAAAACTTTATTGCTTAAAACAATAAAAAAGCATTGTCTTCCAATTCTGTAGCTCAGAATTGAGCTATGGGTTTTGTTAAGCTAAAATCAAGGTATCAGTTTGGGTGCATTCCATTCTTGTGACTCGAGAGGAGAATGCATTTCTTTGTCTTCTCTCTTCTGACACTGCCCACGTTACTTGGTTTATGGCTCCCTTTGTCCATCATCAAAGCCAGCAACATCGCATCTTCTCTGATCATTCTTTTAATAGTCATAGCTCCCTCTGACCACAGACAGCAAGTGTTCTGTCCCATTCAGATAATACAGGAGAATCTCCTCTTTGAAAAGTTATTTTTTCTTCTTGTTTTAGAGATGGGATCTCACTCTGTCACTCACTCTGGAGTGCTGTGGTTCAATCAAAGCTCACTGCAGCCTCAACATGTTAATCACATCTGCAAAGTATCTTTTGCCATGTAAGGTAACCTATTTGCAGATTTAGAGAATTAGGGGATAGACATCTTCGGCTGGCCATTATTCTGTCTACCACACATTGGCTGCTTGGAAGAAAATTATCCAGTCTAGCAGCAATACCTGTGGCCAAAGGCACAGAAAGGTCTTCATGCCAGCAGTTTGGGCCTCATTGATTAGATGATTTAACCAAAGGCAAAGAAATTAACAAATTTCTAGAAGTTATTAACAAAAAAACACTAAATTGAGAAAGATATCCTGAATCTTCACTGCAATTCAAATTATGAAAACAGGAAACCCAAACAAAGGAATCTAAATCTAATATGGGCTTTATCTAGAATATATAAAGAACTCTTACAATTACATTATAAAAGACAAATAACCCAATTAAAATGGGCAAAAATCTAAGGTGAGATTTCTTCAAGGTAGATATGCAAGTGGTCAATAGACACATGAAAAAATACTCAACATCGTTAGTCATATGGGAAATACAAATCAAAATTGCAAGACACCACTCACACCCACTAGAATGGCTATAATCAAAAAGTTAGATAACAAGTATTAGGAGAATACAGAAAAATTGGAATCCTAACACACCGTGGCTGGAAATATAAGACGGTGTAGACACTTTGTAAAACAGTCTTGGCAGTTCCTCAAATAAACATAGGAATATCACATGATCCAGAAATTCCACTCTTAAGAAATGAAAACAAGACCGGGGCAGTGGTTCATACCTGTAACCCCAGCACTTTAGGAGGCCGAGGCAGGCAGATCGTCTGAGGTCAGGAGTTTGAGACTAGCCTGGCCAACACGGCAAAACCCCGTCTCTACTAAAAATAGAAAAATATTAGCTGAACATGGTGTTGGGCACCTGTAATCCCAGCTACTTGGGAGACTGAAGCACAAGAATTGCTTGAACTGAAGAGGCAGAGGTTGCAGTGAGCCGGGATTGTGCCACTGCACTGCAGCCTGGATGACACAGCCAGACTCTGTCTCAAAAAACAAAAAAAAAAAAGGAAAAGAAAGAAATGAAAACATTCACCCACATAGACAGTTGTACGTGAATGTCCATAGCAGCATTATTCATAATAGCCAAAAAAGTGAAAACAATCCAAGTGTGTATCAGTAGGTGAATTGATAATAGAAATGTGATATTCTATATGATGAAATATTATTTGGTCAAAAATAGAAATTAAATATTGATACATGATACAACTTGGATGAACCTCGAAAGCATTATGCTAAGAGAATTAAGCCAGCCACAAAAGTCCACATGTTATATTATTCCATAATATGGAAGTCCAGAATAGGAAACTCTATGGAGACAAGGAGTAGATTAATGGTTGCTTAAGGCTCAGCATAGAGGGATGAGGGAATTGTTGGGGGATAAGGAGTAATAGTTAAAGGATACAGAGTTATTTTGAGGTAATCAAAATGTTCTAAATTGTGATGATGGATTCACAACTCATATATCATAAGCCATTGAATGCACAATTCTATATATCATAAGCCATTGAATCAAATATTTTACTTATTTATTTTTGAGACGGCGTCTCCCTTCAGTCAGGCTGAAGTGCATTGGTGCAATCTCCGCTCACTGCAACCTCCACCTCCTGGGTTCAAGCAATTCTTCTGCCTCAGCCTCCTGAGATATTTTTTGTATTTTTCTTCTTCTTCTTTTTTTATTGTACTTGGGCTCTGGGGTGCATGTGCACATCCTGCATCCTGAAGGATTGTTGCACAGGTACATATGTGCCATGGTGGTTTGCTGTATCCATCCCCCCAATACATAAGGCATTTCTCCCCGTGTTATCCCTCCCCAAACTCTGAGTCTCCCCACTGTTCCTCCTCTTCCCTCCCCTCCACCCCACCACCTACCCCAGTAGTGTGGTTCCCTTCCCTGTGCCCGTGTTCTCATTGTTCATCACCCGCCTATGAGTGAAAACATGCAGTGTTTGGTTTTCTGTTCTTGTGTCTGTTTGCTGAGAATGATGGTTTCCAGATCATCCATGTGTCTACAAAGGACACGAACTCATCGTTTTTTATTGCTGCATAGTATTCCATGGTGTATATGATTTTTTTATGTTTTTAGTAGAGATGCGGCTTCACTATGTTGGCAGCCTGGCCTCAAACTCCTGACTTGGTGATCGCCAACCTCAGCCTCCTGAAGTGCTGGAATTACAGGCTTGAGTCACTGCACC